CGAGGGTTAAAAACATTTTCTTAAATTGAAATCGATAAAAATAAAAGTAGCCCATCCTCTTTCTCTCAAAAAAAAGGATAGATATATATATATATATATATATATATATATATATATATATATATAAAGTTCACGTATATATGGTCCAATCAACTGTATCCATCCTATAAGGTCGTTCACTTCACAACCTATGTTTACAGCTTATGTCAATATTTTTACTATCCATTTAAGTTTCATGGTTTTGCAGTTTCAACGAAATGTCCCGTCGAGACAATAAAGTTGATATAGTTAAAAAAAAAAATTGTCAAAAAAAAAAAACATTTTTTTAAAAAAGAAAATTTTTAATTAAAAAAAATTGTTTATCACGTTGTTATAATTGTGAAAGTTACTCACCGGTGCTCCGTGATAAGAGGACTATATATATATACATATATGTGTATAGTCGAAAATAACCTTAAATCACAATAAGGTGTAGGAAGTAGAAAAAAAAAAATCTTTATCTCCAATGGTTTATAATAAAGAAAAAAAAGAACACACTAACCGACAAAAGATCGTGAGGAAAAAAATTATGATAATTGAAAAAAAAGGGAATTATTATTATTATTTTTTTTTTTTTGTTTGTTATCGAGAATAATAATTTGTAAAATCGGCGAACATGTAAAAAAACCGTGCGTGACCGATGTTTTGCGACTACCTTGTTATAAGAGACGGACGGACGATTTCAATAGAGTGAAACGAGACATTGAACGAGGTTTCGAGGTTGCGGCGGCAGTCGTGGCACGACGAGGTTTATAGAGGGTTGGTTTCTGCGGAGGAGCCGACACCGCCCTCGCGCGAAATTCCTCGGGCGGCGGCAACACGCGCCGACGCGAATACCTTAGAATACGCAAACGCAAACCATGGTTTGGTCCATTTCAAGCTTTTCACCCCTGCCACTAGAGCCTATATATATATATATAAGTGTGTGGAATAAAAAAAAAAAAAAATTCCCCCTAAATTTTTTACTCTTGAAAAAAGATTTTTTTTTTAATTTTCCACATTTACAAGATAAAACACAAATTTAATAATGCTACTGACAGTAATATTACCATGAAATTAAAAATTGATTTTTAAAACAAAAATATTTTTCAAAAATTATATATATGACAATATTTCTGAAATTTTTCTCAAAAATATTGTAAAGCAAATATTGACTTAATATTGCCAGACAATGTTATCTGAATATTTCAAAGCAATCCCAGATAGCACTTAAACTTGCAGCAATCTTACGGCAAGATTGCCGTGCAATATTGCCAACCTTGCACGGTAAACTTGCCGAAAGCTTCAAATATCTCATCTGATCCAAGCTTGCATGGTAAGCTTACCGAAAGATTGCTCAGTAAGCCTACCGTAAGATTGCAGTGTAAGGTTACTGGAAGATTGCACAATAAGATTATCGCAAGATTGCTCAGCAAGGTCGGAGCAAGGTTGCCAAATAATCTCGCTTTAAACATACAATTTTTCTTTCAAATGTTTCGTCTAATTTATATAATAAACTTGTATAAATTTGATGAAACATTAAAAAAAAATTGTATGTTCAAAGCGAGATTATTTGGCAACCTTGCGCACCAACCTTGCTACAAGCTTACTGAGCAATTTTGCGATAATCTTATTGTGCATAATTTTGCAGTAACTTTACACTGCAATCTTTCGGTAGGCTAACTGAGCAATATTTCGGTAAGCTTACCATGCAAGCTTGGGATCAGGTGAGATATTTGAAGCTTGCGGCAAGTTTACCGTGCAAGGTTGGCAATATTCCATGGCAATCTTGCCGTAAGGTTGATGCAAGTTTGCCGTGCTATCTGGAATGTTTATACCTAATTATTGCTTGGCAATGTTGACTGAATATTACCAGATGTTACTTAAATGTTGCTTTGCAATATTACCAGGCAATATTACCTAAATATTGCCAATCAATGTTATCTAATTATTGCTTTTGAATATTTAGCTTAAATCTGACAATAATGAGTCAATATTGCCAAGCAATAATTATATAGGTAACATTGTCAATTTTTTATTTTTTTGTATTAAAAATAATTGTAAACTTTGATGTTATGTTAGGTTCCTGCGGTTCAAATGAACCATTTATTATTATTATTATTATCATTATTATTATTATTATTATTATTATTATTATTATTATTATTATTATTATCCTTATGAAAATTCCTTATAAGAAAATAATGTTAAAGCTGAAATGTTTTTTGTATAATATTTTCGCGATTATAGGTAATTTTTTAAAAGAAATTCATTATAAAATTTTTTTTCTCAATTAATTATAAAAATATAATTATCAGAGACTCTGTAATGAAATCATTACAATTTTTTTAATTATATGAAAATGTAATTATAGAAAATAAAATTTTTCACGTGCAAAATTTAAAATATTATAAAATTAAAATTATAAAAATTTAATTACAGAAATTAATTAATTTTGTATTTTACTGATTACTATCTATGTCTAGTTATCAGTAAAATACAAAATTACAAAACTATATATAGTTATCAGTAAAATACAAAATTAATTAATTCCTGTAATTAAATTTTTATAATTTTAATTTTATAATAATTTAATTTTTGCACGTAAAAAATTTTATTTTCTATAATTACATTTTCATATAATTATAAAATTATAATGATTTCATTACAGAGTCTCTGATAATTATATTTTTATAATTATTTGAGAAAAAAATTTTGTAATGAATTTCTTATAAAAAATTACCTATAATTGGGAAAATATTATACAAAAAACATTATAATGAAAACATTTCATCTTTAACATTATTTTCTTATAAGGAATTTTCATAAGGGATTATTATTATTATTATTATTATTGTTATTATTATCATTATTATTATTATTTAGTAATAATATAATTATTGACTAATTAAATTTCTTAAAAATTGTAAATTAAAATAATTTGAGAAATTTAATAATATCTACCTAAAAATAAGGTTACTTAATTGAAAAACGATATTTCGAAAATCTAGTTTAAAAATTTCTTTTCAAAGAAATTGAAAACAATACTTATATTTGTCTTGATATATATATATATATATATATGTAGGTATAAAGTGACATATATTTTTCTTTTGCCAAAAAACTATTGCAATAAGTTTCGTAAACGGAGCAGAAAAAGGAATTATCGAATGCATATACATTCTCTCTATATATATATCTTTTATTTTCTATTTCTTCTATATAGTAACTGTTAATGTATATAGTTTTTATTTTTATTAATAAAAAAAAAAAAATAAAAAAAAAATTGTTAAAAGTTTTTATATATATAGACCAACTCGCTGATGATGCAGATTCAATTAAACTTTAAACACGCGAAAAAAAAACTTTTTCAATCATAGTAGAAATATGTATCATCATGCGATGTCTTTTTCTTTCACATATATATAGAGGTCGCGATAGGAAGGGAGGGAAAAGGTTTCAGAAGAGTGGATGAGTGAAACGAGTTTTCTGCAGCCTATCTAACTTATGATTCTTTTTCAATGAATTTCTGGACTTTACGTACATACTTGAGCTATAAAGTACTTGACACTTTTCGACTTGAAAAATTTTCATCTTCCTCGCGATATATATATAGAGTAACAATTCTCATCAATGAAAAATTCAATAAAAATTATATGAAATTTCTTTAGTAAAGATAAATTCAAGATTATCAATATAAAGAAATACGAAATTCAATTTTTTTTTTTTTTATTATTATTTTGTGTTTTTAAAATTTATAACTGCGATGTTTTGATCTAGATCCTCAATATTGGAAATTTTTTTTTTCCTTTTAATAGAAAAATTTTTATGTGAAAAAACTTATTTTTTGTAATGGAATAAAAAAAAATTATTTCCCAAACTATATATGAAGGTTCAAATTCAACCCTCTGTGAGAGTGAGAGCCTCGCAGTTAAATTTAATTTCTTGACATTATACTTTGTTCAAGTACCTTGACTTATATACTAACTCGTTTGAGGTTTAAACAACTCTGAGTTGCAAAATTCCTCCAAGTGAATTAAACTGTTATACAAAATTTTCTTTTGATAAGAAGTTTTCCTCTGATTTATGAAAGGACAATTTTTCACACTAAAAAACATTAAGCCAAAAATTGTTTGGCCTAATAAAAAAAAATTTCTTGAAAAATAAAACCCTATTTAATAAAATTGAATTATTAATATAAAATATTATTCTAATCTAATAGACAGTATTATTTACTATTATTATATTATATAATAAATATAATAATATAAATATAATAATAGAGAAAAATAATATGTCTTGTATTTTAATATATAGTATAATTTTATATAAATAATTATATATTATATACGAGGGATTACATAAAAAAAAAAAAAAATAAGTGTCATAAAAAATGTAATTCAATTCACTTAAGGGGGAAGCGTAAAAAATTAATAATATAAAAAAAAAAGTATATAACGAATCATGTATATATAGTAAACGTTAAGCTTAAGTACTGTTGAAACATAAACAGCGAACATATTTCCTGCGTTAGGTGAGGTCATATAACTACTCCATCTCCATCCGTTTCTAGGGAAACGTTACTAAAATGGATCAAACTGGTTTTAGGGTTTGTACGCTCCTTCTGGTCACTAGATTGAATACAACGAAACCACACACATTATATAACACTTAGAATATTGTTAATTCATATATTGATTGTTTCAAATTGGAATATTCATAACGTATATAAATCAATTCAGGTAATTATCATTGTAAAATGATTTAAAAAAAAAAAAATGATTTTAATTAAAAGAGATGAAAAAAAGTCTTCATTTCTATTCCCCCTTTATTTCTAATATTAATATCTTTTGTGATGAGTTTCATTTTTTTTAAAAAACAAGAAATATTATATCTTTTATGAGAGAAAAATTGTTTTCAATTTGAAAAATGTTTATAATATATTTTTTATATATTAGAAATTTAAAGAGAGAGAGAAAAAAAAATAATAAGTGAAGGTCAAGGATTCGACATGGAATCACAATTTTCTCTTTTGGAGCGTGGTGCTGTATTATCAGCATTGGAGGAATGCACAGATGCATTAGCCATATACCAGTACACATTGAAGAAGCCATCAGTGCATATAGGCATTGATATCGACTGCATTCCACCGGAAGTGAGGTACCAGTTTCTGAAATGCATGTATTTACCCCCTTAACTTGACATATAAGGGCTATATTTATAGCAAATATTCAAAAACGTAGCATATAATTAATAACTAAAATTAATTTTTTCATTTGATAAGAATTTTATGAGATATGTAAAATTTTTTTCTAACCAAATTTATATTTGTTCAAATTATTCATTAACAATTTCAATTAAATTTTGTAATAGATATTCAAATGTAATGAGAACACAATTATTTGGAAACAATGCTAATGTTGTACAAAAATATTTGGAGCAACGTGCAATATTCGATAAACTTCAACGAGATGGGTTTGTTAAAAGATTACTTTTTCAAAAAGAGAAAATTAAATTAACTTTTATTTTTTTCAATTTACGTATACGTGTTTTACTATATATATATATATATATACAATGTTGATGTAATAATGCCAGTTTATACATAGAGAGGCTTGTGACAGAGACGAAGAAGGTTTTTCACAAGAATGGATTCCTCGACACGTTGATTGATGAAGTTGAAAAAGAAGAAAGTCAAAAAAAAAATGAAGAATTTTTATTATCAGAAAGTTTACAATTGGAAGAAAAATTGTCCAGCCTTTGCCAAATCAGAGATAGCGAAATTATTACCAATAAAGAAGAGACGGAAATATTGAAACAAAAATTACTCGATACAAATGTATATATAAATAATATTTTGGAATTTTGCAACTGAGTAATATTTTCACTGAAAATCAGTCGAATTTTGTATTATCATTAATCGGTAAAACAGATTTTACTGTTTCAATCAGTAAAATAGAATTCTACTAATTTTCAGTCATCTACATTATCGTTAATCGATAAAACAGATTTCACTATATCGGTAAAATAGAATTTTACTTTAATTCAGTTGTTAAATTCCAACTATTTCATTAATCATACTAATTCAAATTTAGAGAATAAAACGGCAAAATATATTTACAGAAAGAAATGAAAGAGATGACAAATAAAACACGTGTGGAATTAGAATACATAAGTGCTTGGAAAAAGTCACAATGTCAGCAAAGTATTTTGCGTGGCAATATCAATTTAAACCATCTGAACTTGTCTCAAAGGCATTGTCTTATCATCAAGAAAAATGAACATCGTGTAACGGAGAATATCGAAGCTTTTCTCCTACAGAGCCTGGCTGTAAGATTGCGATTGCTTTCATACAAAAAAAAAAGAGAGATAAAAAAAATTTTTTTTTAAAAAAGGAGATACATCACCTTCTTCAATCTAAGAGTTTCAAAATCACAAAGCAAATCTAGATTGTATTCCCTTTTTTCGCACAATTTTCAAGATTTTGCAAATTCTCTTTTTTTTTTTGTTCGAGGTTAAGAAAAGAAAAAAGAAATTTTCTTTTTTTTTTTAAGACGAACGAAAAGCAGTCTCTGTATTGGAATCAAAGACACATCAAAGAATCAACGATGTATGAGGCAGAAATTCGACAACTCAGAAACGAGATAGAAATTCGACGAAGCGTTCTTGAGGATCTCAAACGTGAGGTATATATTTGATTTGCGAACGATTATTATTATATACCATCTCAAGGGGCAAATTAACTCTGCATGTGACTTGAAAACTCTACTAAAATGAAGTTATGTCAAGAAAACTTTTATGAAATTATGAAGCAATCTTATTTTCTCATGGGGAGTTAACATATATATTTTATGCCCTCGTAATTTCATCTTTTTAATATACATGTATATATATATATAGGATCGAGAGTTATAAAATTTTTTCATGTCCAAGAAAAAGATTTTCATTATGATTTATATATTTACAAATTATTACAGAAAATTTTTAATTAATCATTTAAAAATTTATCTGCATCTATTAATTAATAAAAAAAAAAATCCAATTAAGAATTAAAAAACTAGAAATAAAAATGTTAAATTAACAAGGGTTTTAAAAAAGAATATTTTTATAGATCAAAGAGACAATCAAATGAATTCGCAATTATTTATATTCTCAGTGTATCTTTTGTTGAGAATTTTTTTTTCCCATTTAAATATAGGAGTAATAATTTTTTGTAGAAAAAAAAAAACTTGTAAAATAATATATATATATATAAAGTGTAACACATAAAATTGGATAGCAATATCCATGGAAAAGGTATAACATTCTGGAACTCATGAAAATGCAAGAGAGAAAGAGAGAGGACAACAGAAACTGCGCCCTACTGCGTTTATTACCCTGGCACTCTGCAGAAATTAAATGCGATTGTTTTACGTCAAAAAGCTTCTTTACTGTATTTTAACTAGTAAACTCAATCTAAAAATCGTTAACTTACTCATACGACATTTGAGGATTAAATTTACCTCCTATTATTAAAAAAAAAAACTCTATTTATATAAAAATGATTTATATTTTCCTTAAAAGAAAAAAAAAAAAAAATTAACATCAAAACTATATTTTACTTATATAATAAATTTTCTATATCGCATATCTTATATATATATATATATATATATATACAAAAAAAATTTAGATTAAAATGAAATAAATATTAGATGAAAAATGAATGTGATTTCTTTTTTTTTTTTTGTTGAGAAAAATGAAAAGTAATCTAATAGATAATTCCCGTGGATTTCACAGTATGATAGTAGGCAAGCATTCATAGACACGTATCTTGCGGAGAAGGAAGCCATCCGGAAGCAAAAAGAACACGAGGAATATGTTCGAAGAAGTGCAATCAAGATTCAAGCTTGGTGGAGAGGCGTCATGGTACGCCGGAAACTGGGACCCTATCGACCAGAGGATAAGAAAAAGCGTTCAACAAAAACCAAAAAATAATCTCACAATCTCAACCGCAGCATTAGAAAAAAAAAAAATGAAGAAAATTTGTGATCATTAAAATCTATTTAGGTTCATTTGTAACACACTCAATACATTGATTTTATATTATGTTATTAAACGTATACCTTAATTTAAAAAAAAAGATGTTTTATTTATGATGATTATTAAATCTCATATTAAAAAATAAAACTTCTGGTTAGGCTGTATTTGACAATACTTTCTAGTTGATGCAACCAGAATTCTAGTTATACATTAATTATAGAATTCTCGTTAAAATAACCAGAATCACAATGCTAAATATATTCTAGCCAGAATTTTAGTTATAGGATGACCAGAATTCAGGTTAGAATAACCAGAATTCTGGTTATGACATATTTAACATTGTCATTTTGGATAATTTAACCACAATTCTGGTTATTTTAACGAAAATTCTATAAATAATGTAACTAGAATTCTGGTTAAGTTGGAATAACCAGAATTCTAGTTATTCTAACTAGAATTCTGGTCATCCTAATTAAAATTCTGGTTAGGGTATATTTAGCATTGTGATGCTGGTTATTTTAACGAGAATTCTGTAATTAATGTAACTAGAATTCTGGTTAAGTTGGAATAACCAGAATTCTGGTCATCCTAACTAAAATTCTGGTTAGGGTATATTAAGAATTGTGATTCTGGTTAGGTTAACCAGAATTCTATAATTAATGTAACTAGAATTCTGGTTAAGTTAGATTAACCAGAATTCTGGCCATCCTAAGTGAAATTCTAGTTAGGGTATATTTAGAATTGTGATTCTGGTTAGGTTAACCAGAATTCTGGTTATTTTAACGAGAATTCTATAATTAATGTAACTAGAATTCTGGTTAAGTTGGAATAACCACAATTCTGTTCATCCTAACTAGAATTCTGGTTAGGATATATTTAACATTGTGATTCTGGTTGGGTTAACGAGTATTCTATAATTAATGTAAATAGAATTCTGGTTAACTTAACTAGAAAGTAATGTGAAATATAGCCTATAACCAGAGTTTTTTTCAGTGTAAGTTGAGCTAACTAGAATTCTGACTATTCCAACAAGAAGTCTGGTTATTTTAACTCGAATTCTGGTTAAGGATACATTTAACATTATTGTTCTGCTCAAAATAATCAGAATTCTAGTTGGAATAATCAGAATTCTGGTTATTCTAAATAAATTTTTTTCAGTGTGGTTAAATTAATTAGAATTTGGGTTGAAATAACTAGAATTTTAATGCTACATAAAATCCAACCAGAATTCTGGTTAAATTCACCAGAATTCTTAATAATCTAACCAGAATCATATAATGTTAAATATCTTCAAACCAAAATTCTAGTAGCATTTTGGTTAAATTATCTAGAATTCTGCAGTGAAAAAAAATTCTAGTTACGGTATATTTTACATTACTTTTTAGTTAAGTTAACCAGAATTCTAGTTGCATTAACTAGAATTCTTGTTAAAATAACCAGAATTCTGGTTAGCCTAACCACAATCAAAATGTTAAATATACCCTAACCAGAATTCTATTTGGAATAACCAGAATTCTAGTTATTTTAACTAGAGTTTTTTTCAATGTCGTTAAATTAATTAGAATTCGTTTTAAAATAACTAGAATTATAATGCTAAATATATAAACCAACCAGAATTCTTGTTAAATTCATCAGAATTCTGATTAATTAACCAAAATCATAATGTTAAATTTCCCCTAACCAAAATTGTAGTATCGAATAACCAGAATTCTGGTAAAATTAACTAAAATTTTGGTTAAATTATCTAGAATTATGGTTAAATTAATTATAATTCTTGTTCAGATAAGTAGCATGAAAATATATATACATTATTCGTTTAAAAATAATATTATTTTTACCTGCATTTTATAATGACAGTGGTTTAATTAAAGAAAAAAGATAAAACTTTTTGTGGTTTACGAAATGATGAGAATAATAATAGGAGCTATATATATGTGTGATCAATTCGGTATTCGGAAGAAGCAACGGACGATTGCTCACGTGAAATCATGATTTTCTTCTTATTTTCTTATACGATGCAACTTGGAACTAGACGTATAAGTCAAGGAATTGTTCACGCAAAGATCTCATTTCCTGCTGTGTGGTACTTCCTGAATTTTGTGGCCAAATCCATATATATATATATATATATATATATATGCTGTATTTGCGTGCCTATAGGCATCAGCATTGTATACATATAGGTATAGAATATATGTATGGTATTGCACAATAATAGCGCATAAAACAAGAAAATGAACACACATATATATATATACGAATAAAGCACAGTGTATGCAAGAGAGAGAATGGTCCTAAAATGTGCAAATGCGCGGTAAGCACCGTATAATAGGTTTTAATCCATGCGGCCGCTAAACTAATGTTTGGTATCGTTGTTCCTCGCTTGAAAATCCTGCGTAGAAAGGTGAAACAAAATTGTTTTATTTTTTAAAATAAAAAATAAAAAAACGTAAATTTAAAAAAAAAATTATCAAGAAAATTGTATATACAAATATCATTAGCTTTGGAATTGTTGAGAAAGAATTACAATTTATACCTGAATTCTTGAAAATCTTTTGAAAATGATTTCTACCTGAGAGAGAGACCCAAAATGGAGTCCTAAGAATTTGAAAGGGTTGACTAGTGAAAGCGACAGGTAATACTCCACATTGGTATTAGGATTTCAGAAGGAAGTAGTAGATGGTTTTCGTTTACATGGGCCCTATAATTTTTGGTGACTAGTCAAAAGTTAGAGTATCAATTACAATATTTATGATCAATTAGTCGATGAATAGAAATATTTGACTTTTGTATACTTTTCGAACAGGAATACAGAATCAAGGTGGAGGTTAAGGAAAAATATGCTTCCAACTTTTCAGAATGTGAAAACCCATTAGACAGACTAAAGTGGGGAAGGCAGACCCAAAATATGCCAGGTACAAAATGGCATCCGAAATATTTAGTGCCGTAAAATATACCATTGCTTATAAAAGAAATAGTATATTGAATTAAGTAAACCCACAAATTTGTTATATATTTTTTTGAACCGAAAAAAATTTTATTTAAAGTAAATTTTCTTGAATTAAGAAAATTAATTAATGAAATACGGACAAGTATAGATTTCTTGAAATTTTTTTAAATGTATTTTTTCGAAACTAGTACACGGAAAGAAAAATTAAAAATATTTTAATATTATATTTTAAAAAATATCAATTGACTAATTTTTAGTATTTGTTTGATTTAAAATTCATTTTAAGATGTTTGAAGACTATTAACAGATGTAGTATAATTTATTTTATACTTATTAAAAATATCTTTAAAAAATGAAAATAAATTTTAAATATCTAACAAATACTACAAAAAATTAATCAATTGGTATTACTTTTTTAAAACAGTATAAAAATATTTGTCTACACTTTTTCTTTTGTTGTATGAAATTTTTGTTTTGTTATTTTTATCTATGTTTTCATATTTTGTTTAATACAAAAAACACAATGTTTTGTTGAACTAATAAAAAAAATTTTTTTTTTTAATTATTAGATATTTGTACTTTATGGTAAATATGCCCCCAAGAAAAGAAATTAGATTTCCCTAAAAAAATAATTCTCCATTTTGAAAATGTATATATAAGGATATGGATTTTTCTTTAAACCTTCCATTTTAGTTCTGTATTCCTGTTCGAAAAGTACACAAAAGTCAAATTTTTCTATTCATCGACTAATTGACCATAAATATTGTAACCGATATGGGTCCTTCTTGACGTCTGGTGCATTCTTAAAATACGGCTCAGGTAAAAACGAAATCCTACTACTTCCTTTTGGAATCCTAATACTAATGTGAAGCATATTAACTTTTTCATGATTATTTTTTTATCCGCTTCACATTTGAATTTTCATTGATTTTGTATATATACATACTTGGATTAATTTATTTATTGGTGCAACCAATTTTTTTCTTTATATGAATCAAAAGGTAAAATATAGACAAAATAGTAACAAAATACTTGTCCGTATTTCATTTATTAATTTTTTTAATTAAAGAAAATTTACTATAAAATTTTCTTCGATCAAAAAAATATATAACAAATCTGTAGGTTTACTTAATTCAATATACTATTTTTTTTATACGCAATGGTATATTTTACGGCACTAAATATTTCGGATGCCATTTTGTACCTGGCATATTTTGGGTCAGCCTTCCCCACTTTAGTCTGTCTAATGGGTTTTCACATTCTGAAAAGTTTGAGGCTACTTTTCCTTAACCTCCACTTTGATTCTGTATTCCTGTTCGAAAAGTATACAAAAGTCAAATTTTTCTATTCATCGACTAATTGATCATAAATATTGTAATTGATACTCTAACTTTTGACAACTAGTCACCAAAAATTATAGGGCCCAGGTAAACGAAAACCGTCTACTACTTCCTTCTGAAATCCTAATACCAATGTGGAGCATTACCTGTCGCTTTCAGTGTCACTAGTCAACCCTTTCAAATTCTTAGGATTCCATTTTGGGTCTCTCTCTCTCTCAGGTAGAAATCATTTTCAAAAGATTTTCATGAATTCAGGTATAAATTGTAATTCTTTCTCAACAATTCCAAAGCTAATGATATTTTAATTTTTGCAACATTTCTTCTCTATTTTTATTAATTGCAGAAAATAAAATTTATTTCAAATATTATAAATTATATCAAATTGAAAAAAAAAGTAAAATCTGAATTTTTTGAAATGAATAAACTACGCGAGAAGAGAAATTCATTTCCTTTCTTTTCGTCGTGAAGAATTACCGTTTAAGTTGAATTTAATATCTTCGTCTTCAATATTAATATATAGTGATTTTCAGGGCTGTTGCATATTTCATTAAAAAAAATCTCTTATTAATATTGTATAGAATAAAAGAAATTCATAAATGTAACTGTTTTGAATGTATATTATATATAGTTGGAACACTAGTATAAAATACGCGCAGTGTTGCATAACAAAATTATACATTTTTTGAAGACAAAGAGTTTGTTATTGTAATTAAAAATCTATGCTGTATATGTATTATA